TTTATTCTAGATGTTTAACGGTTAAACTCTAGTATACACAAGCATTTATTAATAATAATTTATTTTAACTGATTTATTTATAGTTTTCATTTATAATCTCAATGACAACTCCGGATTTTGGTTTCTTAAACATTGTTTTTTATGACTAGAACTGATTCTAATATGTGAGGAATATTTTGAAATTTTTTAATTGTAATATAAATTAAAGATGTAAATAAATTAAAGAAACCATTTGAATTTTAAGGCATTTAAAAAGACATAGGGTAGATTGGGACTAATTGAGAAACAGATTAAGCATATAAATTATCTTGAAAACTACGTATCCAATAAAACATAAGATTTTAATTTATAATTATGTATATAATAATTTAACACACCCAACAGTTTACAACCATGATTTAATGCTGTAATGACTAGATAAAAAAATTACTCTATCATTTATGGAGGACGCTTCGTACATGAATTTTTTAGTTATAATAAAAAAAGTTTTAATTAGTCTAAAAAAAAACAAAGCCACCTATCTCATCACTCAGTGTTACCCAAACAACTTGCTACGTGACCTTAATATAACCCTAAGTCAAAGTAAACTGATTGTGTTTCAATTAAAAGCGTGGAATCTGCTAGCTACTGCTTAAAAAAATCACTTACCACAAGCGAGCAATGGTGCTGTCCAATCTTTTTTTTGAAGAAAGAAAACTTTTTTAAACAACATCAAAAGTTCAATATTTGTAATTTTCAGTGGTAGAGGATTCAAAGCTCTTTAATGTATCATTCAGTAAGATATTTGCATTTAATTAGATGCACTATTTAATTGTTAAGCAGTTATTATTCAGCGGTTAGAGCGTTTGTTTTCTAAGCAAGAGATCCAGGGTTCAATGGAAGCTCTAGGTATATTTGCGTAATCAGTAAAGAAAAATGGATTAACTTCTTAGTTAAATGTTCTTCTGTAATCTGGCAATACCGTTAGATCTTCTTTGGGTAACTAAAAAAATTAATTAAAAAAAAAAACTGTGATTTATTTATGCTGATTTTAATATAGTTGCTTTGTTTACTACAGTAAACTGGTGGATCAGCTTGTTCATGTTAAACATCACGCGAGTTTATTTTTTTCCACTCCCACCTTTTTTTTTTTACGAAAATTCGCCAGATGTTAAGCATGATAAAAGGTTTCGTCAGAACATTGTACATATGGAAAACTGATATAACGGCCATTGGTTTCGAGAAACACTTGCTAATTTATGTTAGATGCTTAGACGTAAACAGCCACACAAACATCTAAACAGACTTTTTGAAAATATTGTGATGCAATGTGATATGCAAATTTAAAGTTTTCAACGTTATAAACAATAATAAATTAAAACTGCAATTTAAACTTGGTTTCAATTTTATATTAAATGTTGATTTTAACGAGCTTTAAAAAAAAGTTGAGCGTCAGAAACGAACGGACCTCATAATTTTATCAGTCCGTAAATTCAAAAATGAAATATTATTGTACAGTGTTAGGATAAGAGGCTCTATAATTCAAGATAATGATATAATTTTTTTTTGATATTAATTTAATACCGTTTAATTTCTCTTCATTTATAATATTTTTATTTAGATTTTTGTTGCGTTTCTTTTTAAAAAATTTATAAGTTGGACACTCTCGCTGTCAATGGTACATTTATTTAAGATTTATTTCAAATTTTATATGAGGCATTCGTCTATTGCTTTACATGCCCCTTACTATTTTACCATTTACCCGGGTCTATTGCTTCACTTGCCCCTTATTATTTTACCATTTATCCGCGTTAACAGTATTTTATTAGAGACAATATTATCATATTAGAGACAATAATAAAAATAATTAAAACAATATTTCAAATAATCCCGCTCAGACAATACTTTTGAAGCAAGTTAACATACTTTTCTAATAGTGAAAAAGTAAAAAACTAGTATTGTCTTTTGTTTAAAAACTAGTATTGCCTTTCCCTATTTGAAAATTTAATAATTAAAATTACCGAGACCGAGCAAAAAAACTCAAAGTTAATTATGTGATAACTATAGTTATTTTGCAATCAGTAAGTTGCATCAACTACATTAAAAAATGTACTTATTTTCATGTCTGCATTGAGAATTAATTCAGATTTTTTGTTTAGTAAATTTTTTTGGTCCAAATGAGATATAATTTCAAATTTATCTTGTAAACATAGTATAAATTTTTCGGAAATGTTATAATAGGCAGGCGCAGTTTTCAGAGTAGACAAGTTTAGTTTAAATTTTTTTTTTTTCTTTTAGTTGCTAAATATATTTTGACAGCATAGTCTCTTTTAAGTATTTTTTATGTTTAAAAGATTGTTTGTGGTAGGTTTTTTCCATTTGCCCTCGGTTAAGCCAATATATTGTTTTTCAGAGTGTTTTGTTAGGAAACCATGCATTTGTAAATAATATTTTATATAAGCGTTTATATAAGCAAAAAATATTTTTGATAAGCATTTGCAAGTCATAAATGAGTCAATATTTTGCTTGCGATTACAATTTTCATTTTTTTTTTTCTTAAGAAATTACTTTTTATTAATCAATGCAAAATTATGGCTTTTTATAATTCTTTCAATATTTTTTGTACAGCTATAGCTTACTTTAATAGTGTTTCTGTTAAAAGTTTAAAAAGGCAATTTTTTAAAGGGAGGGTCTACTAATTTTAAATGTTTGTCTACTAATTTTAAAAACCGCTCTTCCAATATTTGTTGAAACATTTTGTTGTACAGAGGGTTGAATGAAATTATATTTTTATTTCTAGTTTGCTTTTTTAAATTTTTTTTTTAATTTTTGTTTCAAATTTTAACAAAAATTTTTAAATCCGCTTTTTTTATGAGCATCTTCATACACACGTTTGGAAGAGTTGAAAATATTTTCGTTAGAGGAGTTTTGACTTAGTCTATTGTTAATTGAAGTAGAAGTTTGTTTTAAGATTTGAGGGGGATGGTTTGAATTTATATTAACTCCGACCCCGACTCCGACTCCAACTCCGACTCCAAAATTTTTAAAAATTCTTTGAATTCTTTAAAAAATATTACGCGATAAGTTGTAACTTCCCAATGTTACATCAAAGCATTCGTCCGTGGTTTTTTTCTTCCACGTCTCGTTATTAAAAAAGAGTAAAGTTTTTCTGCAATGATTAATTAGATGAATAGTGCCATCTTTAATTTCAGAGTGGATTTTTCCAAATTCTATTGTTTTTTCTAAAATTTCTGCTGTAATTGAGGGGTAAAAATCATTAATATTAAATTGTATAAATGAGCATTCATTTTTATTACTAATTTTAGAAAACCATTTTATAACATCAATGGTATTTTTCCATTGTTTCACATTTAATTTTTTTCGAATATCATTATTTATTTTTGTCTAATTTAATTTCACTGACGTGTCCTAGTTCACTTTTTGTAGGTACTAGTAGCCTACAAGGGAGATTTGGTTTATGATTTTTTAGTGTGATAAACGCTTGCGCTAGTGCAACTGATTCAATTCTTACTTCTAAATTAATTGCATTTTCCAAGTTTTAAGGAGCTTATGCGTAATTATTAGAAACATTATCGTGCAGTATTTTATTATGATTATCTGGGGCGATTTGGTATATGTTTCTTGTTTTATCAGAAAAAACTAAAATATTAGGGTTTGATTTTATATTATTATTGTCTAACTTAAGTTCTTTTTGGAAATCATCGTTAATATTTCAAAATTTTATTATTTTAATCAAGTGTAGTTAATCATTTTTAAAGTTTTCTAGGTTAGGAATAAATTTGTGTGTGCTTGGAAGGTGTTATTTGTTTTGAATCCAATATTTTCTTTTTGGTTATTTTCAATTATAGGATTTTTATTGGTTTCAATTTCTTAGTTAAAATGGGATTTGGGGTCGTCCATAGTTTACGTCACGCTCTAAGAAGAAGAGTGGGGGAAGGGAGTTAGTGATTTTGAAACAACTTGCTACTAAAGTGTTACAACCTTGTGACGAGGAGGAGGGGAGAGACGTCAAAAATGGTCAAAAATTGCGTTAAGTAATTTATGGATGACCCTCTTCCAACGAATTATTTAAATATAGTGATCTATTTTTTTCAATTTAAGATATAGTATAATTTTTTTTGCCTGGGGTTTGGAAACTTTGTAGGGAATCATTAAAATTGTTAGTTTCTATGTTAACGTTATGTAAAATTTAATTAAGAGTGCTCAACAATTATGAACTTTGAGCTTAATTCGAGGGCAAATGGAAAAAAACGTATGCCAACTACAAACAATCTTTTAATCATAAAAAATAAGAGACTATGTTTTCAAAATATATTTGGCAACTAAAAGAAAAAAAAAATTCATTTTAAACTAAACTTGTCTATTCTAAAAACTGCGTCTGGCTATAATAACATTTTCAAAAAAATGTATACTATGTTTACAATAAAAATGTGAAATTATTACTGATTTGGACCAATAAAATATACTAAACAAAAAATCTGAATTAATTTCTAAATGCAGACGTGAAAATAAGTACCTTTTAAAAAACTTTAAAAACAAATGACCAGACTAAAATTATCCTAGTTCTAAAAAATTCTTTTCATGATTAATTTTTTAAAATATTTATGATACAGGAGGTTAGGAAATGTTATAATTAGTTATAACATTTTTGAACCTTATATATATATATATATATATATATATATATATATATATATATATATATATATATATATATATATATATATATATATATATATATATATATATATATATATATATATATATATATATATATATATATATATATATATATATATATATATATATATATATATATATATATATATTAAAATAATTTAAATGAAAAAAATACAACTTTATAATGGTTAAACGTATATATATATATATATATATATATATATATATATATATATATATATATATATATATATATATATATATATATATATATATATATATACGTTTGTTTTTATGTGTATATAAATTTTTTACTAAAGGATTGCAAGACTGCATCATAAAAATAATAAAAAAAGATGGTTTAAAAGGATTATTTAAAGGATTTTGGGCAACGTTTTATCGTGACATAATCGGTTTTCCCGCGTATTTTTGCTGCTTTGAAGGTTTTTGTTGTCTTATTTCTAACGAAGGACACCCATATGAGGACCTTGGACCATCACCACTTGCTTTATCTGGCGGATGTGCTGGTGCTTTTTCATGGGCAGTAGTATTTCCTATTGATGTTATTAAAAGTAGAATTCAAGCTGATCACCGAAATAATTTTTCTGGATTTTGGGATTGTTTGCGCAAGTCATATAGCAACGAAGGTGGAAAAATATTTATACATGGATTATTTCCTACAGTATTAAGAGGATTTCCTATGAATGCTGCTATATTTAGTATATATACACTTTTGATGCGATCTTATCGGAGTGTCGAAAGTAGTAACTTTTACGAAAATAGATAAAAAATTTATTTCAGGTTTAACTATTAATGCTTTATTTTAAGAATGTTTTTACCCAAATTCATTTTTAAAATTATAATAAATTAGAAATAAGCTCTTGAAGACTTGATAATTTTGGAAACATATAAAAATATTTTGTTTTAAAGTTTTATTTTTTTTTTGAAACATTTTTATAACCTATAAATATTATAAATAACATTTAAACAGGAAACATTTCATAAATTTTCACAAAACTAACAATTAAACATAATAGATAATATGATAGATAACTTTTAAACATGATGGTGTTTCACAAATTTTTCCTTAAAAAACTTTTTTAATTTTCACATATTTAATAGTAAATGGTATGTTTGTGAACTCGAAGTCAGAAATGTTTTCACGGTCAACACTAAAGTCAGCACTGAAAACAACACTGAACTTTTGTCAACAAAAAGAATCAAATCATTTATGCTACAGTTAATTTAGTAATTGTTTGAGTACAAACTAAAAGCTTTCGTAACTTTTCACAATATCTAATTACCAAATTAAAAAAATAAAAATAGTTTTTGTGATTTTTTTTCGTTGAGTAAAAACCCTGTGTATTTACAACTTTTGATTCTTTTGAAATAAAATAGGCATTAAAATGTGAAATTAAAAAACAAACACACTTTACTAATTTTTCTCATGTTATTTATTTAGTTTAATCACAATAAAATTAATAACTTGGATTTAATGTAAATAGATCAACGTTGGTAAAATGTATAATATTAATAAACATGAATAATATCTGTAAAATTGATTGATTAATGAAATTCTACATCAATCTCTAGCTTTCGCCATTTCTGATTGGTTCTAAGTTTAAACAAACGTCATCAGCAATGTTGACTAAGTTTATACTCATACATTAATTAGGTAAACTAATTAATAGTTTGAATTGCACAACATCCCGTGCAATATCTGCCCGCTTTCTCTATGCTATCTTTCTAACTCGACTTCTTCTGACTTTCACTTTCTTCGTTCTTCCTAAACTCACTTATTCTTGGTCAGCAAAGCGGGTAATGATGTTCTTTAATAAGTTGAACCATGGCCTACTATATTATACGGCCGTATATGTTACATTTTAGAGGCCGATTCTAAGAGGCCTATTTATTAAAAAGATGGCTGCGCAACTACAGAGAAAAAAACTCATCATCCAGACTAAATGTAATTTCGAGTACAAAGAAAAGTGTATTCATCAGCGATAATTAATCATAGAGATTTGTATATTTATAAACATATATATCTATGTATATTATACATGTATTTGTATCTAATATATATTTTTATATTTGTACATTATACATTTAAATTGACAACACGATTTTTCAAAGAAATTTACAAAGAAAACCAAGGTTTAAATTTATGTTCTTTTATTGTTTTATCTATCTTTATGTTAATATATATATATATATATATATATATATATATATATATATATATATATATATATATATATAAATATAAAGTTATAAAGATATATATATATATTAAATATATATATAAATATATATATATATATATAAATATATATATATATATATATATATATATATATATATATATATATATATATATATATATATATGTATATAGGTATATATATATATATATATATATATTATATATATATATATATATATATATATATATATGTATATAGGTATATATATATATATATATATATATATATATATATATATATATACCTATATACATATATATATATATATATATATATATATATATATATATATATATATATATATATATATATATACCTATATACATATATATATATATATATATATATATATATATATATATATATATATATATATATATATATATATATATATATATATTTATATATATATTTAATATATATATATATCTTTATAACTTTATATATATATATATATATATATATATATATATATATATATATATATATATATATATATATATATATATATATATATATAGATATATATATAAATATATGTATATATATACCTATATACACACACACATATATATATATATATATATATATATATATATATATATATATATATATATATATATATATATATATATATATATATATATATATATATATATATATATATATATATATATATATATATATATATATATATATATATATATATATATATATAGATATATAGGGTTATTTTTCTCTCTGTCTACTTTTAAAACTTTTAACAGCATCTTTTCGTACAGTAGTATTGATTAAGTTCTGCTTATTGTTAAAAAAAACATTAATTATGATTTTAGAAGCAAAATTAAAACCCCATTTTTTGTGTATATCACAGGTAAAACAAACTGTTGGAAAGTATTTTGATAAAACAAAGCTTGATACGTCTTTGACATTAGCACCTTGTTTAGTTATTAAATCTGAAAGGTTATCTAACACTGCAAAACATCCACATGTAAAATCTTTAAGTGAAAGTGATGGTACTGTAAGACCACCTCTGGAAAGTATTTGTAGATATGGACAAATAATTATATTGCTTGTATCTGTAGCTAGCAAAGGTTTGCAATAATTACATTTGCTTCTTTTGATTAATTTTTTAGCAATGTAACCTGCTATTGTTGTTGCAACTTCTTCTGTTTCAGGTGAGAGAGTTGATTCAGATATCTCGTTTGAGTTTAAATCTAATATTGCCAGTAATTCATTATTAATTGGGTTATTGTGGTTGTTTTTTAGATCTTCATCCCAAAAATTTATATTCTCCTTAATTAAAGACCGACATGCTAAAATAATTTCAGAATGTTGAACTTCTAGTAAGCTAACTAGAAATCTTCCACCACTCATCTGTCGATATTGCGAAAATCTACGCTCTATTGGGTCACTTTGAAGCCGTGAAGTAAGTACATATAAATATCCTTCTTCAATAAGGTCATCTATAAGCATTGCTTGAGACCGCAGAGTTGTGATGAGAGCCGATGATGTTTGTTGTGATAAGGTAAAATATGGAGATTTCTGCCAAAGTTCAATCCAATTAGCTAATTGTCGAAAAAAAGTTGTTTTACCATCATTAAGAATAATCGCATTACCAAGTTTATTTGGGCTAAATCGCTCTTTAGAATTTGAAATAGTCCACCATTTGTGAAAAATTGTAAGAAAACCAGAAATGTCTTTACGTTCTGGAAAATAACTCTTGAAACCTGCAATTGTTGTTTCATCAAAAATTGATAGTGCAAGAGAAACGTTTTGCTTTTTGTTACCAGGGTGAAGACTCTGATATGAAATTTTTGGAGCTTTTCGTAAATTGGCTTGAAGTTTCTCATCTTTAGAATGTAGATGATGAAAATCTCCCCAAGTAATATAACCAGCTGGACAATTATTAGAATCATCTTTTATATTAAATGTAAAGGATGGAAAGACAAATTTTTTACAGTGTAATAAATTATTTCTGATATTTTTAACAAGATGAACACTATCATAAAATAAGTATATTTTAGTATTTGGACTATCAGGATGATTAATAAAGAAATTTGATTGATTACCAAATTTGGAACGAAGCAAACTAAATGCACTTACATTCGATTTATGATTATCGGTAACAACACCTCGAATTTTAAAACCAGATAGCGAAAGAGAACTAATAGAATCGGATATTTGATCTGAAAGCCATTTACCACTTTACTTTTTTAATAATGAAAGGAATTGATTTTTTTAAACTAACTATCATAAATGCAACAACTCCTTTGTACAAAGTACCTGTATCATCTGCACCCACATAAATACCACTACAATATTGTGCTTGTTTCTGAAGATAAAATTCATCTACAATTAATATTACATCTTCATGTATTGAACCTTTCTCACAAAGTGTTTTAACAGCCTTAATTGCATCAACTCCACCTTGTTTTATTTTATTCAACAAAGAAATTGAAGGTAATGGAAATGATTCTAGTAAAATTTCATATGCTTGTTTAGATGTATATCTTAATAATAAAGCATGTCTAATCATATCAGCAGAATATTGTGGTTGACCCTTGGCTTTATAGTATGTTCGACTATTCATTTCATCAAGAAGTATATTTCTATTAGAAGAAGCGGTATTTTTTATGTACGCTGCAAGATTTTCTAACATACTCAAACTAGTTAATTTAGAATTACGACCTTTAGATAACCATGGAGGAAGTGGAACATTATTTCCTTTATATTGCAAAGCTACACATAAGCAATAATCAATTTTTATTGATTCAAGAATTGATGGAAAAAATGTTATAGGATCAAATATTAAATTATAATAAACTACACAATTGAGATGTTTTATAAATTTGAAACCTTCTGGTGAATGTTTAATACTTAGCATGGTCCATTCAGTAACTTTATCATTTTCAGAAAAAGAACTTAGTTCATCTTCTTGAAAAATACGACTTTTAGGTGGTCTTCTCAAAGCAATAAGCGATGGTAATGTGGAAGGACGTTTTAAGCAATCACTGGAGAAAATTTCAGGAATAGGATCTAGATTCCAATTTAACTTGCATTTTTTACCACGGATGATAAACTTTTCATTAAAATGCTTTTCACACAAAACGGAGTTTGGTGAAGGCACCCAATCAGTACGATTAACAAAATGAACCCAATAATTCAGTAACTGTTGATTTTTTAACGGAAAATGAAAAGAAGCAATTTTTTTATCTTCTAAAGAACTGTTGTATCCAGTTTTACAACCATATGCAACACACTTGTTAACCATGATATGATTCAGCTTTTTTAGTATTTATTAACTTTCTAAAACAGTTATTATATATATATATATATATATATATATATATATATATATATATATATATATATATATATATATATATATATATATATATATATATATATATATATATATATATATATATATATATATATATATATATAATTTGCAAGTTCTACTTATTATGCAAGTTGCTTTTTATTTTGCATAATATGCAAGTTTAAAATTAATAGTTTTATCATTCAACTTGTTGTCTTTTTTTGTGCGAAAATAGGCCTCTTAGAATCGGCCTCTAAAATGTAACATATACGGCCGTATAATATAGTAGGCCATGGTTGAACTTGTCTTTGCCCGGGTATGTGGCCTCTATATGACAATAAGCCGGAGGAGGGTAAATCACAATACCCATTTCTGATTGGTTTCTAGTCTCTCTATCTCTCTTGTCTCAAATGCCATTAAAAACATAAGTGAGAAACTGGTTGACCTCGAAAATCGGTCACGAAGAAACAACCCGAGGATTGAAGGTGTAAATGAAGGATTGAAGGTGTAAATTACCTGGTGAAGGTGTAAATGAAGGATTGACGGTGTAAATTACCTGTGCAACCTGGAATGACTGTGAAAAGTTTATGAAAGACATTTTTTCAAAAAATCTAAAAATCACGAACGAAATAATAATTGAACGAGCTCATCGTTCAGGTCCAAAAAAAGTAGGCAAACACTGAACAATCTTCATAAAACTATTAAACTACAACGATAAAAAAGAATTCTCTTTAGC